GCAAAAATTTACGATCGAAATCCAATATCTTATTTTCATTTCTTCATAATATTGCTGTAATTTTGCCATTTAAAAAAATAATATCAAATCATTTTTAAAAAATAAGATATTAAATACCAATTGTGTTAAAAAAATTTAAAAAAGAAGTAATAAAATTATAAAATAATCAAAAAATATCGAAAATAATTCAAAATCATTACAAAAAAGCAGAAACTTTTGTTAAACAAACTAGTTATGTATGTGCGAGTGGAACTTCATCATTATTTTACTTATGGGTTAATAAACGATTATGAAATCAATTTATATTTGAAATAAAAATCCATATTCATTTTATATAATTAATTTACATAAAAGTACAAAAAAAAAATAAAATAAACTTTATGCATATCTTGGAAATTAAATAAATTTTCAATTTAATTCGTTTTGATTAATTTAATTTATAACACGAGACAAAATTCAAAAAAAAATTTTAAATTTTCAATTTTAGATGCTAGAAACTGCAAAATAAATTTATTTAAAACAATAAAAAAATATTCATATATTTTTATGTTGAAATTTAAATTTAGAAAAAAACAAAAAAAAAAAACAAAAACTTTAACATGCGTCAGAAAAATTGAATTTTTTAATTCCCAGAATCAAAAAAAAAAAAAAAATTCGGTTTACCAGTAGTCCAAGCTTTATACCTACACTTAATTTATTCTAGTATAATCAGATTTTCTTACAAACGTTTATAATGGTTTGTTTTTCAAATCTTAAGTGCAATGTATCAGCCCCTGATCCCTAATATGTGTGCAATTTCAATTAATCAATTTTATTCCCGATCCCAAACGGAAATAATTAAAATTGACCATCATTGTCATTCGTCATTAAATTATTTGCTATTTTCTATCATAATAAATTAAATATTTTAAACGCATGTGATTACACACGTGATTGCAAAGCTAGTATTGTCTGAATAAATTTAAGATTGTATATGAGGATGACAATGGCACCGCGACTCCGAAAGATTTATTGTATCCCTATTTGGAGCCATTTTTCTTCATCGAGACCTACCACCAAATGATAGATTCAAGCTGTTTTTGGGTATTGATTTAGCGAATTCTTCCTTCTCTTGCGGATCAGAGCTCCTTACTCTTCCCGAAGGTATACTGAAGTCTCCATGACTTTCCCATAAAATTTGCAAAGGCTATTGTCCAGTGCGTTCAGCTTTCTTGAGGTATTCTCTCAGTCCGCAATGGCTTTATAAGATAGCGTGGGCATTCTCACTATGGTTCTTGCTCAAAAATCTTAAAACGCTTCTAGATAGCTGGCAAACGACATGTAACCAAATTATCTTCCTTAGTTGACTTCGTACTGTTTGGTCCGAATCCAAAGAACGGCTATGTGGAACGGCTATGTGTGGAGGATCTAGTAGCTCATTTCTTTGTCAACATTTCTGCTATTACATTTTATACTACTGTTTTTGAATTGAATATGTTGCAGCTATCTGATGACAGAGAAAAATCAAATTCTTTTTTGTAATCTTTGCATATGTCTTTATGTGTAGCCATAGATATTTTTCTCCTGTTCACGCGGAAAGCTTATATCCAATATCGAACCAAATATAACAAATCTACTGAAACTTTATTCCATTCTTCAAAACTTTTCGAAATTTTATGAAGTACCTCTAAAAATTTATTAGAAAAGCTTACAGTTGACATGATTTATTTTTAATCAAATCATTTGCACATTTCGTTTAATCCAAAGATCAAATGCAGATTAAAGAATTCTAGTTCGGTTTTCACAAAAAAAAAGTCAACGAAGAGAAATAAAATTATCAAAAATATCAAAATTCATAATAAAATCGACCGCATAATATAAAAATAAAATAAAAAAAAATTGAATCTGAAATAAATTATAATTTTCAAGGTCTCTTTCATAGGTACCTAAAAACATGATTTATCAAACGTATTAAATTTTTTTCTACTTCTTATACAACAAAAATTACTTTTATTTAAAAATTTACCATTTTTTCCATTAGACGATGACAATAAAAATACCCCAAAAACTTATCGAATTTTATAGATAAAAAAAAATATCAAAATATTTTACTGGACTTTTTTATTAATTTTTGCCTTTTTTTATTGAATTTAGATAAAAAATATTTTGAAAATAAAATCCGAATTTTCAAATAGACCTTTGAAATATTTATTTTATTTCATTTTATATGGTAAATAAGAGCGCATCTCTTATACTTGCCTACATAATCTATTCCCAATAGACCGAATCACAATTCACAATATTGATTAAAAAAACAAATATTGATTTACATTAAGCATTTTGAAGTAGCACCAATTTTTTATTTTTTTTTTTCAACTCATTTTTTACATTATTTTATTTGAATAATAAAAATGATAATTTCTTCAACATTTTTATGTTGGTTTTTTTTTTTATTGCACACCCATTTGTACTCAATATTTGAAATAAACTTTGTATATACAAAGGTACTGCATATTTTAATTTAATAAAATAACTGCAAAAAAAAAATAAAATTATTACAAAATATGTTAAAATATTAAACGGTACCGAAACAAGAAAAAAAAATATAATGCAAAACAAATAAATATAATTCTACACTCAAAAAATTCTAGCATGGATTTGTCAATACTGATTCACAGCACGATTTCGACTACATGCACCTAATGTACTTAACATTATAAGCGCTACTATATTAAGACCAGGGATAATCGATTGTGAACTAAGTGTTAGCTAAAGCCTTAAGGTCACACCGGGGTAAAGAGAATGAGATCGGCGTGTCTGCCGCTGAAGGAATTCCTTGGCATAGCAGATAGGAAAACTAAAAGGAAGGGGAAGTCTTGTGGGCAGAAGCTCACATGTGCAGGGTAGCCAGAACGATCGACCCAATAGGATAAGACGAAGGCGTTGTTGGGATATAGTAGGATTAATGTCACCATACTGGTAGGGGTGCTGACAGACACTTAGGGAAAATGGTCAAGAGGTTTAGAGTCACTACGACGGATGTCTCTTGTGAATGTTATTTTCTTTGTGCCTGTCTACCTCTGATGCTGAAGAGGAAGTGCATTCTGTAGACTTTCCTTCATAATGACTTGGAAGACCTGTCGAGGATCTTTAGCGCGACTTTTTAGATTCGTCAAAGAGATTAATTGGTTCTGGAAGATGGGTTTTGAGATTGTATTACGTGGGGTTGTGGAGTGTTAATTTGAAGTTTACCGATGGGTTTTCTTGTTGGTTTAGTGCATGGGCTTCGCCTGAGGCTCTTTTCTCTTACTGCCACTACTATATACCAATATACCAGATAAAATATATTGTAATGTGGTAATAAACTATAATAATATGATGACGAACTTAGAATTGTAGTGTGCAAGTAAAGATGATGTATTCACTGAAAGCTTTTCAAAAGCATGCTTTTCCAAAAAATGACTTGAAAAGATCATTTCCGATTGGTCCAGATGGTTAGCTTCTATTCAATGTTACTATCTAAGTCATGCACTGTAATCGAAGATAGTTTATATTCCATTATATCAGTTCAATCAGTCATAGATGATTGAGAGAAGAGTCGACTACAAATTTTGTTAAAATAAAATGAAACTTTTAATGATTTATGATTTGCTAGGCAAGTTAGATACAGTCATTTGCGAATTGGTCTAAAACAAAAACCAGTAGCAATCATCTGGATTTTTTCTTCTTTTCCACCTTATCACAAAATCACACAATATTTTCTTTAAGTGTAACGTCCTAAAATTATTATTTATTATTAAAATTCAAATAAACATTCACCGTAAGTGTGGTCTCAAAATGACTAATTATTCATAATTTCGGTACAACTATTTATTTTTTTTTGTCGCAAAATTATGTATGTATATGCATGACAAATAAATGCTTTCATACATATTTTATGTGTATACATACATATTAATGTAATTTAGTGATAACAAGGGTATCTTGATGTAGGTGAAGTTCATAAAAAAAAAAAAATTTTTAAACGCCGTCTCGCATAGACATTTCGAATTTACAATTTATTATTATTTTTATTAGAAAATTTTAATATTAATTAGAAAAAATGAGAGAAAACATGAGACGAAATTTCAATAAAAAAATGAAATGGTAAGGCAAATAATGGTAATAATGACGATTCAGTTCATTAGAAGCATAAAATTTGAATAACAAAAATTAAAAATTAAAAAAATATTATTGATCGTGTTTTAATAAATTACTAGCTCCTATGTATTACGAAATTAATTAAAATATGAAATTTTTATTGAAAAATGATTAGTTTATTAATTTTTTATTTTCTGTTTTTTTTTTTCATCATTAATTAATTTTAAATAAGCGATCTAATTTTAATAAAAAATGACACTTTTTGCACTGTCACATATTTAAAAAAAAAATGCAAATGACTTTTTTTCCGACTGCTGTTTGTCATTTTTTTTAACTAAAAAATCAAGTGAACTACATACAAACATATATAAAATCAAGTGAACTACATTCGACATATTCGATGAGTGAAATGTAGTAAAAAATGACGTTAGTTTTTAAGAAATGCGACGGTAATTTTGGAGTTTTAATTCATTCTATTGTTGAGTAAGTTTAGTTACTCAAATATAAAAAAGACCGACTAATGGTACATGGACGAATCGAAAACTGGAGGAGGGGTTGAATCAGGTCTCTTTGAATTGAGACTGAGCCTTAGGCTGTTTAGAGCCTTGGGGCATCTTAGTTTATGTGAAAGCATTTGTAGGGGATATGTGAACAAGACTATTAACATATTCTCGGGTAGTCAGGCCGCGAATCTGGCTCTTAACTCTTACCATATCAAATCGCGTTCGGTGTGGAGATATTTACATTCGCTAGGGGAATTTGGTAGAAGCAATAAGGCGATAAGGTGTAAGTATTTATGGCAACGAAGCGGCGAATGCTCTTGCGGGGTCCGAAGTGACGTTTTCGTTTGAAAATTTTTTAATTTTTACAAAATCTGGAATATGTCAGCTGAAGATAGGCAAGTCATCGTTAGTCAACAGAGAAAACAGAAAAAATAAATTTGAAATATAGTCAAGACCAAGGTGATGAAAATTAATAGCACAAATCAGGCTCCGATTTGTATACAGGGTACTCCCATTGAGGAAGGTATTAGAATTCGAATAATTGTGAGCACGACAATAACAAAAATAGTAGGAACCAATAACAACATAGACCTGGAGTGTGTCCACATAGCACACGGAATTAAAATAAGAATATTCAACCCATAATATTAATTAATTCAGTGCTGGTATGAAAAAAATACCTCAGTCAGAGTTGGTATTCAAAACATACCAATAATGACGACACAGGAACTGATAGAAATTCAAATGAGAAAAAGAAAATAGAAATGGATTGTTTACATCTTAAGACGTCTAGTAACACGAGTAGTATGTTAAACCGAGAAATGGAACTTCCAACTATAAAAGGAAGATTTGTGCAGGAAGAATTGTAGCTAACCATGGCAACATGGTAAAAAAACATGGAAAGTTGGAGATTTTATATTGAATGTGTTCCCCAAGGGCAATAGTAAGAAATGAAAAAGTTTTGTAAAGTTATGCATCTGTTCTGCAGTTGCTGTAAGAAGAATTTCTTTTTGTATATTTCTGTCAGAAATTTATAAAAAAATAATTATCAATCACTCATAATATAAATAAATAATTTATAAAATAAATAAATTAAAAAATAATTTTAAAATCTAAAATAATATTAAACTTAAATTTTAGTACTTTTATTTTTATTTTTATTATTATTTAATATTAATTTAGTTGTAAATTGAAAATTCTTGTTTTATTTTAAAGAATTTATAGTTCTCAATAAAAAAATGATATTAATAAAAAAAAATGAATTTTTAACAAAAAAAAAATGGTGTAGATAACAGATACCTTAGTATTTAAAATAAATAAAATAAAAAATAAATAAACCATTTGAATAAAATTAAACATGGTGAACGCCACATAACTTTTTTTTTTATATTTTTATTAATATTAAAGTTATTAATTGACTTGAAATGACCACAAAAAAAAATAAGAATAAAAACAAAAACAAAATGTTTAATTTTAGCTACTAGTTTATTTTTTATCTCTCTTACTCTTTCTCCATATATGTCCTTCTTCAGTTGCTATCTTTATCAAATTTTGATTTATTTTAAATATACCTATAAAATTTTGGATAGTAGAAAAGAAGAGAAAAAAAATAATATTAAGTAATCAGCATTTTTTTTTTTTCGTTTTTATTATTGTGTTGTTTTAAGAGAGAGAGAGGATAGAATTAGTCAAAAATAGAATCATCTTCTTATGCCTCTAATCTAGTTGACCTTAAATTTTAATTTTCTAATTCTTAGCACATTAAAAAAAAATTTAATTATTATTCTGTTATTGGCAACAATAAAAAAAATAATATGCAATGTTTACTTTTTATAAGGGGCTATTCAAAATTTTCAAGTATACCCTTAAGCAGATCTCAAAATAATTCGATTCAGTTGAAAATGCTTTATGAGCCTGTGATAAAAAAATTGTGAGGATCAATGTTTTTTCAATTGAAAAATATTTAGTACATCTTGGGTTCCACGAAATTGTCAGAAATTTAAGCTAGTTTAAGTTTTAAAATTATATCATAAATTTCCACAGTAAATGATTTGGTACATAGTGGAAAAATGTTTGGTACACCTAGGAATTTTTACGAGAATTTCCAAACTAGGGTCGTTATCAGTTTTTCAACAAATTTGGCAAGCTCTTATGTACAATTCTAATGTATGACGGAAGGAAGGTTTGTTTTATAATTAAAATTCATCATAATATGTAATCGAATTTTCAAAACTGCCAGACCGTTTTCATCTGCTTTGAATTAGAGTGATTGCCCGAAAACGTAAAAGGAAAAGTACCTGTTTTTTTTTTTTAACCAGATTTTATGTCTTTTTTTTTCTCTTTTAACATTATTCCTAACTGAAATTTGTTTATGTTCAAGAATAATTTAATTATTAAAATTTAAGTGGTATATGAAAATGTACCACTATATTATTTTTTTGGTGTGAGGAAATTAGTCCCATTTATATTGTGGCAAATTAATGGAATAATTGTAAATGTTTAATTTTTTTGCGAAAATTAAGTCAACCGGTTTTTTGTGTGCAAACATTCTGCTTACTCGTCCTGTTAGGTTTTCAATCATAAATTAGTCAAGATTTTATCTCGTGTAATTGGAATCAGTAAATTTTCAGCCATGTGAGATCGCAATAGAAAAATAGGAATAGTTCAAAAAGAAGAGCGGGAAAAAATTTTGTACGTTACGTCAATGGGAAAAATTTCCAATCGCTTTCTTTTTCTCTTAATTTTTATTCTTTAATTCCCGTCATCAATATTAATAATAAAAACGAAATTAAAAAAACAAAAAATTTTCTAACATTCTGTTATGTAATAGATTTCGGTTTTTTAAAATGCTGCCGAATTAACATAGCTAGATTAACTGTTTTAAATTCCATGCTATACACATACACTCATATACAAATATTTTATAATTTTATAATTCTCTTTACTTAATAAACTGGACTTGTTAGGAAATTTTTTCGGAGTTGCTCGCAAAAATTGTTATTTAGTCTAGGACAAAGAAAATTAATAAAAATTTTTTTTTTAAATGGTAATAAAACTAGTCTAGTCTTTTTTTTTTCAATGATAAAAACAAGAAATTTTTTAGGGTATTGTTATTGTTGCCTCGGTGATTTTTTTTTTATTTTTTTTTTTGCATCATAACTTTTGCTCAAATTTATTATCTTTCTTTTTTTTTATAAAACTTTAAATTAGGTATGCAAACATTAAAAAATCGCACTCTAATTGATTTTATTTTTTTCGCCTATAAAAAGCAAACGACACCTTAAAATTAGTACAGAATTCAAACGGGGTTCAGTCTAACAACTAAACACAAAAAAAAAAACAAAACAATTTTTTAAAAATGAAATTCATCGTAAGTAATTTTTTTAAATGGATACAGGATTAAAATTTTGCCTAATAATTTCATTGAAATTATTATAGATAATTGGTCTTGCCGCACTTGTTGCTATTGCTGCAGCTGATGTATCTGTTGTACGCAGTGATGCTGTTGTAAATCCAGACAGTTATCAATATTCATATGAATTGGATAATGGTGTTAAAGCATCAGAAGAAGGAAAATTAAAGGATCCAGAAACTCTCGTAAGTTTTCTAAACAAAAAAAAAGAAATAATCATAGTAATCTTCTAATATTCGAGCATTTTTTTTTTATTTTTTATGCAGTCTGTTAGTGGAAACTTTGCTTTCAATTCACCTGAAGGTGAAGCTATTCAAGTATCATACACAGCTGATGAAAATGGTTTCCAACCAGTTGGTCCTCATATTCCAACACCACCACCAGTACCAGAAGTTATTCAAAGAGCTTTGGATTATATTGCTGCTCATCCACCACCACCATCCCATTAAATATCTATAATCCTATAGTTTTTGTTGATAAGTGATTTAATCTTGAACTCTTACTTGCTTTGATTAACGTTCTTAATGGAATATTTTTTAAAAACAACAAAACAAACAAAAAAAAAAAGAAGAAAGTTTAAAAGAAAAGTGTGTTTTCAATATAAGCAGCACAACAAAAAAAAAAAAAAAAAAACAAGTGATGTAAATATATATTTATAAGGCATTTTTATAAAAAAAAAAATAATTAAAAAAGAGAAACGAAAAAAATATATTTTATTTTTAAATATGAAACTTCTGCGTCTCCCAATTTTTTGCAGCGCATTCGCATAGGTAATATCATCTTTTCGATTCACTTCCATTCTAGATCTACATAACTCATTGCACAAACATGAAACCGTATGAAATGTGAACTTGAAATAAAAGGAACTGTAAAATTGGCGCTTACCAGTTTTTACATAGGAGAAGGAACATGTAGCAGCAAACTCAAATATCTAATTTTTATTCCTTAATTGATAATTTTGGTGTTATACCCCATTTCGTCAATTTAAGTGGATGTTATCTCCCCATTCATTCCAAAGGCCGACAAAAAAAATGAACAACAACCTAAAGTTAATGATACTTATTAATCTTTCGTCATTCATCGTTAGATCATTGGAGAGAATTGTTCAAGAGGACAACAAATTAGTTTACCTTTACATGTCTAAAATTAATTTTGAACAATTACCAGATGACAGGCAAGCAGATAAATCCAATGATACAGCACTTTAGAATCTTAATTATAGGATAGAAAAGAAGGTTGCATTAGCAATTTTCATAAAGAAAGAGAGAATATTTAACTGTGGCACATGCGAAACGATATTATAAGATTTGCGCAAGGGGAATATTCAGGCGTCGGTATAAGAGTGGCATTTTGTGCCAACGAAATGAGCTGAGCGGTACGGTACATACATATTATTTTCAAGTAATAAAAAGTTAAAATTCTTGTTCTTACCATCTATTTGGTGAAAAGTAATTGATGAGTAAATCAATTTCTGAACGTGATAATCATCGGGCAATTAAATCACCTTATTCTTCGAAAATATGATCAAACCCGATTTGATCATATACGGCATAAATCAATTGATCTAAATAATCAATAGAAGAGTAAATTCAACATACTGTGGACTTCGGCTTATTTAGAAATAAATAGCACAATAAAAAGGTTTACTTTTAAGCCAAGCATGGTGTGAATGCATTGTTTGTCCATTCTGGTGATTAGCACAAAAAGTTTACAAGCAATTTATAATTGTATTCACTATTATTGGGTCACTTGTAAAGATTCCAACCTTAAGAAGAAACAACTAACTTGCTTCTTCCTAAGGGTTAGCCTTGCATTTTATTCCTTTTTTTATTCAAATTTTCCCTTTAATTTTAAAAATTTCAATCAAGAATCCTTATCAAAATTCTTAATCTCACATTAAATTCTGATAAAATTTACAGAAAATTCCAATTTCCATTTGGAAAATTTTAAATGCTCTCATTATATGCGAAAAATTATGCTTGTATTATACTGAAAATTTACAATTTTACATTTATTTGTAAACTCTAATAACAAAATTTTAAATTAAATAAAAAAAAATCGAATATTTCCACAAAATATTTCAATGTTAAAATAATTAATTTATATTCAAATAGTTTATCACAGAATTATTCAATTTCATACTAAACATAAATTTTGAGATTTTAATCATTTTAGTCATATGGAAGCCCAAATATTATTTGAATAATCCCTTAAATAATGCTCCTAAAATCCAAGAGAAAAAAAAATAACAATTTTATCAGCTTATCTGCCACCTTTTTTCCATATCACTGCAATATTTTACTGGACTAGAAGTAGAAAGAGGAAATTGAATTGATTTTAAAGTAAAAAAACAAAAAAAATAACAACAACAAGAAAAAAAATTAATAATTTCCCGCTAAAAATACGCCATAATTTAGATTTCAAGTACCAAATTTAAAACAATGCCGCGAATTAATTTTGTTTATATTTAAAATTTGTTTTTTTTTTTTTGTGTATATCTGCAAAATACAATCTTTATAATTAATTTATAGTTATTATATTAGATTTAAAAAAAAAAAATTTGACATTTTTATTAGCATACTTTAGTTGCAAATTCAATATGAAAATTAAATTGAATTTTGATTTTTAGTTTCTTTGGTCTTCTAAAAATTTTTTCTATAAACAGTTGAAATTATTTTTAAATGTTTGTTTTGTTTTTGTTCAAATTCAACCACTTAATTAATTTCATTAATTTTCTATTTTAATTTTAGAAATAAAATGCGTTAATTAAAGAAGGTTAATAAACCTAGAAAACAACTATTTTGTGGGAGTATAGAGCTAGATTAAAGAAAACAAAATTTTTATCTAAATACGTGATAATAATAATGAAATTAATCGGAAGCAAATAATATAGAAGATAATGGGAAATAGAGACATTTTGATTATTTTAATAATTATTCGATGTTTTATTTATTTTGGAAACGATAATGATATTAAAAACGATACCTAATTTGAGTATGAATATTATTTTTTATTTTAAATATTTAGTTGTTTATGGAATGATTTAGTTATAAACGAAAAATTCTTGCTCTAACGAACAACAAGATATGAAATTATTTAATAAAAATGAGGTTTAGATTCTATATTTCTATGCTTATTTCTGCAGTCTGCATATCTCAATATGTATGAGCTAAGAGGCATTTATCGTTTGCATACTCAAAATTCTTCAGGCTTCTGGTCAAAACCAATTTGATAATCCTTGACGTCGTCTCATAATTCTATTCATTACCTAATCTTAAACCACTATAAAGAGGAACACTGATGGCAGACATTCCTGCCTCACACCCGAAATTATTTGAATAGACGCACTCAGCTGGCCGTCGTGTAAAATCTTGGAATTCGTATTCGTCTAAAATGATATTTATAATTTTTTTATTGCTTTTATTGGGTAATATATTCCAGATGGTTTCATGTGTAGTCTTGTCAAATCCCCGCCCTAAATCGACTAAGATACAGTAGAGGGGGCTAGTTCATTTATTATATTGTTCTATGATAATTTTTATATTATTCTATGAAGTGATTTATACAGCTTTTGTTCATACAAAATTCAGCCTGTTATTCTCCGAGAATTATATCTATTTTTTGTTTGAATTCTGCTAGTTACAGTCATCCGCCAGCACCTTTCGTGCATTTTCATAAATTGCCTTTGTTCGGCAATTTTATAAGTACTTTATCTTTCCATTTGTTAACTTTTCTTTTTCTTCTTGCTAAATCTTCCCCATTATGGATCCGGAAAGTGTAACTGTTAGACTAGGTTCAGCCCTAAATAATTTTGTCGGCCCTTCATTCTCACCTCCGGCCTTGTTATTTCATTGAAATATGATCAACTCTCAAAAAGTTTAACAATTGCTAATTAAATGATATTTTTGTAAAATGCCAGCTAAATTTTTACATGTTAGCAAGTTCTCGTGTTTGGAATATGGGTGTATTTTCAACACTAAATGCACTCACTATGTGTATAATTTTCAATTTCAATATCGAAAAAATAATTAAATTTTATTTTTATTTCTCTTTTCTTTTTTCTCGAAAAATTTACATAATACCGTTAGTTTTGATCATCAATTCAACACGTGAACAAATAATATTATGAAAATAATTTTAAACACTTTATTTATTTTTCTTTATAGCAGATTAATTTCTTCGTCCTTTTACACTCAACTGAACTTGCAAAAAAAAAATGTAATTCACAAATTATTTACAAATACGACAAATATTGTTCTCTTAAAAAAATTTAGAGTGATAGAGAAAAATTATTGTGATTGTTATAAAAATATCACAACTTTCTTATAAATTTTTACAATTGTTCCAGCACAGTTTTTATAAAAAAAAAAAATATTTTATTCAATTAAAATTTTAAAATTACGATTTTTAAGGAAAACTAGCTCTTATTTTAATATTTTCTTTTATTCCAAATTAAATTTATTTTGCAATGAATTATTTTGAGCTTATCGTGCGTGCCAACAGGATTACTCGTAATAAAGATTTCATTGGTGTACATTCTACCTGAACCTTTAGTCTTATGAACATCTTCATTAATTATGATTTAAATTCAATCATTATTACCACATTCAATTTCAATCAGAAACTCTTAATGACCTACACTGTACAGGCAACTATACATATAGAGATTCGTTCATCCACCTACCCGAATAGATTTAAAATATACTTAAGTATAATTAAAAAAAAAAAAATTTTATGTACAAAAATTACAAGTTTTCTAATATTTTCTACCTTTTTCTGAATTTATTTTAAATTTAAAAAAAAAAAAATTATTATTAGTTTTTTTGGACATTTTTCTATTTTTTTTTTTTTTTTGATAAAAACGCGAATCTTAAAATTGTGAATCATTTTTTTTCTTGTTGTTTTTTTTCTCTAATATTTCTGTATTTTCTTGTTGGTATAAATAGATGTTGAAGATCATTTTAATCAAACAGAATACGTTTTCGGTTCAATCTGTTAACACAACAATTTTACAAACATTTTAAACAAACAAACACAAAAACGAAACGCACCCTCCTAACCAAAGAAACAAAATAAAAATGAAATTCGCTGTAAGTTTGATTGCTTTTTATTGTTTTTGTTGTTTTTGTTGTTTTCTTTGTCAACATTATTGATTTCCTAATTTGTTTTTTGTCTCCTCTCAATTATTATTTTTAAAAATATTTTAAATTAAAATAAATAGAAGTGATTTAAATTGTAAATAAAAATTTTAAAGTTTATGTAAAAAAAAAACAAATATTTGAAGGTCATTTAAATTTAAAAAAAAAATATGTGCTTTTTTCGTGGTGTCGCGACGCACAAAGACAAACAGATTGAAATACCAAGGGTCGATAGCTACTTAAATCGAATAAATTTTCGCAATGAACAAGACTTACTTGGGCTGCACACAACTAGAATGGAAAATCAATAAACAAACGTGTTGACATTAGCTTTGACATATGACATGTCTGACAGCCGCTGTTTTACAAATTATTTTCAAATTGATTGAATAAATCTAACCCAATTATCGAGCTGAATTCCGATAAGACTAAAAATTTAACTGATAATTTTCCTATATTTTATATTTGACACAATAAACTGAAATATTTTACTCACAGTTGCAATAATTAATTTTGAAATTCTCATTTCGAGCCAATATCTCACTTAAATTTAATTCTAATTTAAAAATTTTTATTTCAGATCGTTTTTGCTACCTTAATTGCTGTTGCTGTTGCTGATGTTTCAGTTATACGCAGTGAACAAGTTGTTAATCCAGATAGTTATCAATATTCATATGAATTGGATAATGGTGTTAAAGCATCAGAAGAAGGAAAATTAAAAGATTCAGAAACAATTGTAAGTCTATTTTAACTTTCAAGTCATTCAACTCCTAAAAATTTTATTAATACCATGATTTTTTATAATGTAATAAGGTTGTAACTGGTAGCTTTGCATTTACTGCACCAGAAGGTGAAGCAATTCAACTTTCATATACTGCTGATGAAAATGGTTTCCAACCAGTTGGTACACATTTACCAACACCACCACCAATTCCAGAAGCTATCCAAAGAGCATTAGATTATTTGGCGGCTCATCCACCAGCAGCATAATTTTTTTTTTCGAAATTTTTATGCTATACTTTTGTTTCCTTGTTATTGCCATTCCTTGTTAATCCTTTTCTTATCCTGATCCGTTTATGTGAAAGATAAAATGAAAAAAAAAAGCATTAGAAACGCAAAAAAAAAAAAATTAAAAATGACAGCAACAACAATTTTTAGAGCTTTAATTTGTTACCCAAAATTTCTTTTGTAAATAAAATTCAAAATCGTTTCTTATTTTGTTAAGAAACACCAAAGGTGATGTAAATAAGTGTGAATGTAAGATAGAAAAAGAAAAAATGTTTAAAAAAAAAAATTGAATAAAAAAAATTGAAAAAAATTTATTTTAAATAAGTTTTTGTTAAAAAAAAATTTTTTTGTTTTTTAATTGAACCTTTTTCAAAAATTCGAGGTTCCGTACACAACCAATTTGCTTTAAACTTCTAAGTCATATCATGGAGAGGATTTTTATTTTAGACAATCTTCTTGCCCTATTGACGAGTTTAATAATTTCATCCATCTCATATTCCCATTTTACATCGTTTGTATTGGAACAGTAAAATAAAGGAGAGCTTGGGGACTTAACAGTTAACCTTCTATAATCATAAAACTGGCAGAGTCTTCACAATTAAAATCAAAAGTAGAAAAAGCCATAACGACTCGGAATTTCTAAAATATTTTTAATGTGTCATTTTGGATATTGTAAAACCTTAAATTAATATTACTAGTTGTAGATTAATCAAATATTTTAACAAAATTTTAATCAAATACTAAGAGCTCATCTATCAAAACTTAGTAGCGCAGTTTATATTGTACTGGAGCAAGGTAATAAACGGCAACTTTATATAAAATAAAATCCAAGACCTCGGTTCATTTTTAAATTAAAATATCAAAGTTGATTTTGTGTAAATATGCAATAAACATTATCCATTCCAGACTAACTACATTCTAGAATCTTACAATAAAATAAAATAATTAGAATATAATTTTCATGCAACCAGGATTATGATTTGAGGAATGGGCACCATTTAAGAATAGACAATTCAATTATTACTGAAGGTTGTATTTCAAATTTCCTAATTGTTACACTGAACGAGCAATTCAATTCTCAAAAATTTCGTATTAAATATAATTTATAGCACCCTAAGACTAATTCACATAATTCACGTATAGTAGTTCTCACATGCTATTGTTATCTTTTCAAGATCTTATACTTAGCCTTGAAAAAAACTTAAAAAATTTAAATATTTTCTCGAGAAATCATTAGAATATACCGGAAATAACTTGTATAGCAATTTTTAAATTAACAGATTTTATTTTGCATGAAAAACAAAATAAATTTTATTTTACCCCTAAATGTATGCAAAATATAGTTTGCTAATAAGGTAAATAAAAGCGAGTTATTTTAAGTGTCCGCAAAGTATGCAAAATATGCAAATTTTGAATAAAAAAATTTTTTCATTACCTTAGTCTACAATCTACATAATATGATTTCAAAATTTTGTAATTTTTTTTTATACAGGGTATTCCCTATTGTAGTGTATTTACGAGTACTATGGTGTATATTTTGGCTATAGTAAGGAAAAAAATTGTTCCACAGTAGATTTCTATCGCAACTAGTTTAGAAGATAGGGGCTCTTAAAAGAAAATCTTATTTTTTTGTCAGAATTTATGGAAAGCAGGACACACAACTTTGATATTGTTAGGTATAACGACATTTTTAGACATGCACTATAGGGGTGATAAAGTATACTTTTAACAAGAGCACAATGAGCTTTATAGAAATTCTAGTTCAGATACCATAACTTAGTAAGGTATTGTTAAGCTAAATAAACTAAACAATATAGATGTGCTCGTTATAGGTTTCACGTAAAGATATAGGTGTAGGTTTTGTTTACAAATTTATGATAATTTTCAAAGACCCAAATTTTAACGAACGGGCAGCGGGTTTTATGGTATATTTGAATTCGTCAGTGGGAATGTTATTGGTGCACTATATAAGGGTATGTAAAACACACTATTTGCATTTACCGGCCGGCATGAAATCCATTGTCAAACATTGGTTCATCAATGTGCAATCTACAATGTACTCACTCAATTCTGACCCAATAATATGGTTTCACATAAAAACAAAAGAAAAGTAAAATATTATAAACAAAACTACTTTAAAAATTAAGTGGTAAGCAAAATATTAAGCAATAAAGTTGACCATCATTTTAATAAACTTAAAATATTCGATAATAAAAGACATACTTAAAATATTGCATGCAATCAGGAGAAATACCTTGAATATAACAAGAAATTCAAGAAATCACTAGAATTTTACTTAAAAATTGCAAAGTAAATTTAAAAATTATAAATGAAAATTTTAAAAGAATAAGTTAATGGAGGCGATAATACGAGTAATTTAATTTAATTGATTTTACTTTAAAATTATCTTCTGTCATTTTACACTTAATGTAATTAATAAATTAAGGAATGAATCAACTATTGATTTCTCAATAAATGTGCAAAAATTTTAAATTTTTTCAATTGAATTATCAAAATTTATTGTAAGTGGCTTAAATATTCAATAATGAGCAATAAATAACGACGGTGCGTCTAATTAATTTGAACATTTTAAATGGAATGCAAATGTTTCTTCATAAAATCTTAATCGTTTTCGAATGGTACAAGTTCAGTTGTTATTATGCATAGAACCAGTTGAATGCAAAAGTAATTGATTACAACAGTATGACATGACGTGGTAATGATAAATTATTACAATTTGACTTAAGAAGAAACCGATAAATGCTGTTGTAGTCCTGCTGTTTGAATAATTACTCAATTTAATTATGATTTTCAATAAGTTTTTCAATACGCAATGTGAACGGAAATACAAAATCATACAAAATAAAAAAAATTTATCATCAGTCTTGTAAATATCAAGAGCATGTTATGATTTAAGTGTCGGTGCCATTTGATATTTTCTTGTATTATCAAATGCAGTTCAAAACTCTAACAGTAGTGTGGTTGTTAAAATACAAATATTTTCTCATTGTATCTTTTGTCACTTCAAATTTTAATAAGCTTAATCTATAGCATTCATTAATAGACTATAGGGTCCTAAAAACCGGTTCCTTTTTACAGTTTACTCCATAGAATAGACTATAAATACTTTTGGGGTCTAGAAACTTTCTTGTCTTGTTAAAGATGGTACAATGATTTATTAAAGCCTACGTTTGATAGTGAAATAAAGGGGTTGTGCCCAGGAAAATGACGCAAACCTTATAAAAATTTTAATTAACATTCTCAATTGTATTTATTTGTATCTACACTATATGTAGTATGGCAGCCAAACCTGTAACACATATTCACCATCAGATTATACGAGTTCCTAGACGCTTCGGATTACCCTAATGAAGCCAATCATATTCAATGTACAGTGGCTCACAAAAGAAACCGGGCAAGAATATTATACTGTTTTAAATATAAATATATATATATAAATTTCATAATATATTCAAATTTCATTCATATATTTTTTTAATAACTTCAATGTAACATTTTTACAAAAACATAAAAATTACAAAACATAATAACAACAAAAAAAAAAGCATAAATAAATTTTTCTTGCGAAATCTGGCTCACAAAAGAAATCGGGCAAATTAACCGTATTAACGGCGCCAATAATCTGCTAGCAAAAACTTTTGCCTTCTGATATGTAATCCAATTTTAAGTGCATCTACTTAGTAATAGCTAGTTCTGTTGCGATTTTCGAAGCAATTGTAGTGTAATATTTTGTGATATTTCAAAATGGGCCGGTATACAAGTAAAAGCGAAAGGGAAATTGTAATTTTGAACTTTAAAAGTGGTAAAACTGAACGGGAAATTGCGGAAATCGTTGGAAAAAGTAAATCTACGGTTCATGACATAATAAAAAGGTATAAAGAAGACGGACAAATAGCCAACAAGCCAAAAACAGGCAGAAAAAAGATTTTATCAGTCAGAGACGAAAGATTTGTATTAAGAAAAAGTAGAGAAAATCCCTTCATATCTGCTCCTAACTTGGCTCAAATTGCAAAGGATTCCCTTGAAAAGGATGTCCATGCTGAAAACATTAGAAGAGTTCTACGGCGTGCAAATCTTTATGGTCGGGTAGCCAGAAAAAAGCCATACATTTCTGAAAAAAATAGAAAAGAGAGATTGGAATTTGCTGAAAAATATCTAACCAAAGATTTTTCATTCTGGAACAAAGTAATTTATGCACTGTTTAAGCTTTAGAGACGTATTTAACCATTTTTATAGGTTTTATTTACAGATGAAAGCAAATATAATCTTTTTGGGTCAGATGGTAGACGATATGTATGGAGAAAAGTAGGCGACGAATTTAATGTTAAAAATACAAAAAAAACCGTAAAACATGGTGGAGGGTCAGTCATGGTGTGGGGGTGCATGTCGGCTTCCGGCATTGGAAATTTGCATTTTATAGATGGGACTATGGATAAAATGCAATATTTGAACATTCTTAAACAAAATGTCAAACAAAGTGCCGAGAAGCTAGGGATTTTAAATGACTTTATTTTTTATCAAGACAACGATCCCAAGCACACCGCAAGAGTAGCAAAAGAGTGGCTATTGTACAACTGTCCCAAGGTCTTAAAAACGCCAGCCCAGTCACCAGACATAAATGTAATCGAACATTTATGGGAGGAGCTAGGCCGAAGAATGCAATCTAGGACGTGTTCCAATGTCCATGAGTTAAAAGAAGTTTTACAAGAAGAATGGTGTAAAATTGACTCTTCAGTATGTTTGAAGTTGGTCAAGTCTATGCCCAGCAGGCTACAGGCTGTAAAAAGACAGCAAGGGAATGCCACAAAATATTAATTTTTGTTGATACAACATTTGAAATATTATAATTCAATGTTGCCCGATTTCTTTTGTGAGCCAGATTTCACGAGAAAAAACTATTTATGCTTTTTTTTTTGTTGTTATTATGTTTTGTAATTTTTATGTTTTTGTAAAAATGTTACATTGAAGTTATTAAAAAAATATATGAATGAAATTTAAAAATATTATGAAATTTATATATATATATTTATCTTTAAAACAGTATAATATTCTTGCCCGGTTTCTTTTGTGAGCCACTGTATATAAAAGTAAAAAGTTGCTTTCACGGCCGAAATACATTAAACTACATTCTTTAACAGTGATCACCCGGTTCATTTTTGTAAATTTTGAATTTTAAGACATTCTGAAGCGAAAGTATATAAGATATCAAATAAAATATTTCATATCAGTTTGTATCGAGAACCCGCGCCTTGTCAAGATGGAAACAAGTATTTTCTTCAGTCTCACGTCTGAAACATCTCAAGAGAAAATAAAAATTTTTAATCAACCTATATGACACTATCATACTCTAATAATTTAAGATACTCAGAGTGAACTCGAAAAAAACATTCAATTCGGCATAATAAGTCATCGATAAGGCACATACCTATTATGCATATTAATAGGTGCATACCTGTTAGCATGTTCTTGCGATTGTGTGTTTCAAATATAGGATTTCATATAGCATCTCAATGTAAGCAACACTTGGTAATCTTATGTGGATTGCAATGTGAACAATAAATTTGTCGATAATTTCTTCACACTTCTGTAGCTCAGTTGGTAGATCCTCCACTTAGAAAAAGGTAGATCACTGGTTTGAGTCCATTTCGAGGAGAAAATTTTTTCAATTTTTCTGCCTTTAACTCGTTCCTTTGATTACGTCATCCATCTGTTCTCTAGTTGTTTGATGAAATTTTTATTGAGTTAATATAGCAAGGTTTATGTTCACCGCTTTCTCTCATTAGAAAGGAGCAATAATTCAATGTAACTGAAATTTATATTTACCTTTAATTGGCCTTCAACCCTTTGGCATATAGGGCCACTAATTACATTATACAACAAAAATTACTTTTTATTTAGCATTTTTATTAAAAAAAAAAATCTTTTTTATTACAATATTGAACTCATATTTAAAAATTATAATTTACAATCATTATTATTTACAATTTAATATAATAGAGAATGTATTTAATATAATTAATAAAAAAAAAAAACAAACAAACAAAAAAAAATGTATTCTAATTTAACCACAGACTTTGTAATTATTTCGACGTGTGTATAAGATCATGGCAAATTCAAGCTATTCAAATTCTTCTATGAAAAAAAAAAAAAAAAACAAAATAGAAAACTGCAATTACATTAAAATTTCCAAAAAAATTTAGAATTTATTTCAATAAATGAAATTCTTCAATCGATTTCGAATGGACGCATTGAAGAAACTCAAAAAAAAAAAAAAAAACAAACAACTTCATTTCAATTTAAAAACGACCACGTTTTGGTGCTGATGGACGATTTTCTTCTACGTATGGTGGTGCTGTTGCAAGATATTCTAATGCTCTTTGAATTGCTGGTGGTATTGGTGGTGGTGTTGGAAGATGTTCACCCTTTCATTGAAAAAAAGCAAATAACTTGTTTTGAATTGTAAAATCTAAATTTTATGATCAACTTACAGCTGGTTGGAATCCATTCTCATCAGCTAAATACGTGATTCGTATTGGTGTGCCATCTGGTGCTGTATATGAAAATGAACCTTGTGCTGTCTGGAAATTTAAATTAAATTTACTGTCAGTAGAAAATTATAAAAATTGAAAATTTTAATAAAAGGAAGGTAAAACAAAAAAATTCACCTTCAACTCAAATTTTAAACCCTATCAAAGTTTGATTAAGCAACTACAATAATATTTTTAACATCTTTAAGCTAGAGGTGGTAATTTTTGTGAGGAAATATTGTGATATTAAAAGCTAGTTTGTGTTGTTCTCAAAACCACATACTTATATTATTTCTTATCGTAGCTACTGGTACACTTAATATTGTTGTAAGCAAACCGGCTTTCATAATTCGCAAAATTTTTTGTAAATTATGAATGATTATGAAATGCATTTAAAGCCAAACCTCCTAATTAATTCAATTTAATTGAGTATTAATTTTAATATCTAATAAAAAAAATAATTTTTAATATTTTCCAAATTCAATTTTCAGTTGTCAAATTTATTACGATGATAAGATAACAAATTCAAACGCATACTTGGCTGAGCAATAGCAACCACGAATGTGCAAATAATATGCAAAAATTTGCAGTCTTACCGTTAGAAATTTTACGTTTATAATGTAGTACAAATAAAAAACGAAATTTTTGTTTTCATTATACTCCATAGACTGTGGTTCATAACGTCAGCAAATCAGTTGTTGAACAATTTAATAAATGAAACATGTATAATGAAATCAAAATGGAGGGCAATTAATGTTATTGTCGTCTAGATTTGAGACTATTGGTGGATGTACTCATTGGATATCACCTATCGATTGTCCATCTGAGAAGAAGCGAAAATTGAATATTCGCCGTCCATCTGAACAAGCGGGGGATGAGGTTTACCGTCTCTGCCGAATTACGAAAAGATGGAGTACTTATTGTTTGAATGTGAAACAGTGGCTCGCCTGCGACTTAAATGCTTCGAAAGGGGCTTTGTGAACCCGATAAAAGTCCCGCGACTTGAGGTGACTACCATACTGCAATTTGTCAAAGACCTGGTTATTGTGCTAATGTAAGTGGGGATGGGAATTATAAAAAATGGCCTGTATGTGGGCACGAAGAAGGCCTGAAAGCCTCGGCCCCTAAGGGGAAAAAAATATACATGTCGAGTCTATTAAAAAATTTTTTTGTTAGAATTGAATAAAAATTTTGGTTGCAGCGACACTTTAGACCATATGATATAAACCTAGGCACAAAATCCCATAACGCGCATCATATTCTTTTGAACTTCTTATATTGAATAATCTCGTGTGGGATTTTCTTCTTTTAATTCTGTTTTAATTTTCTAATTTAAAATATTTGTTTTCTTCTTCTTCCCATCATCATCACATCAAAACAAAAATAACAAAACCGATATTGTCCATCGTATATTCGCGCAATTTAAGAAAAAAAAGTTTATGCCAAATTTAATTAAATCTCCACACCTTAATTAGAAAAATCCTTCAATAATATTCAAAATTATTTCAAAATTTTCCATTTTATAATATTAATTTTTTTAATAGCCATTGATGATTTTTAAGTAATAATCTTGCATAATAATAAATGCAACATCCAATTTTAGTAAAAATCAACTATTGTTAAAATTAATGTGTGTAATTTGGCCACAATAATCTTCAAATTAATATTAAATTTTATAGTTTAATCCCAGTGCAAATGCACTTATGTAATAAAAATGAATGCAACTGACCGCCATCTTATTCAATTCGTAAATGAAAAGAATACAAAAATAGTTGAAATGCATGAATTTCTGATTAAATTTAATTTTATTTTTTTTACGAAATTTTAAATAATATATTTTAAAACACATATTTAATGGGAAAAAATCAATTATAAAAATTTATGCATGAAAATTAAATTGAAAATTTTTTTGCAAATATTCGCGTCCAAATTGATTTTGATTAAAATTACAAGGCTAAAGTAATAATTATGGTGGTGGTGCTGGTTTTACAAAATCAATTTTATGATAATAATAAAAAGGAAATATAATTTGATGGAAAAGATTAACCATGTTTCCATGTATTTTGTTAAAAATTATATTACAAGAAATCGATTACAAGAATTTTATGTAGGTTAAAATGAAAAATGTAATTTTAATAAAAAATTTACGATTAAAATTAAAATTTTCGTTAAAACTTTAAAAATAATAATAAAAAATTATATTTTATGCGGCATGTCGGATTTTTTTTTGCCGGCTTTATTGAATACAAGCTGTATTAGAGGTTCGAAATGTAAAAATTTGGAAATATAATTTCAAAATAAGACTCTTAAGTTTAATTGGGATTTAACTAAATCGCAAGTATTGCTCTGAAAATATTTTTGTTTAAGGAGAAGGAAATAATTTTTTAAAAGTGATTGAATATTCGCCGAAAATTTTACTCCTATTGTAATGAATATTCGCCAGTTTATTACTCCTGTTGTCTGTGGAAAAATGAAATAAAAATATTTAACAAGCCTTCATAAAATTTTACACAAAATATGCCAGGTTCCGAAAAGCATTTCAAAATTCTGACATAATTTAAGAAGTGATTTTATTCTTTCAAGAATATTCCACATTAGAAAAGTAAACAAAGGTCAGAAAAGAAAGCAAAGATCTCCAAATCTTCTCCATTTAATAGAATTATGCAAATTAAATAGAAAAATACTATCTCCTGTACTATTTCTGCAAATAATGCACCTCAAATTGGTAGGCATGTAATAAAATTTACAGTATAGTTCCAAAAAAGCGCTACAGTCAAATTAATTTAAAAGGCAGCAAAATTAACGCATTGACGTTAATAACGAGAATATTCGTCTTTTGAAATTTTCTTAAATTTTATGTTACGCAAATTTCCGCCATTTATGCAAATTTACAAGACAATTTATTATTTTAAATTCCGTTTCTTGTATTACTGCCTCAATTAATTAATTGAATTTCAATATTAATTAATATGATCTACATATAATTACAATATTAGAAAACTTACTTTTGTATCTGGATCTTTTTGATATCCTTCTTCTTCAGCTGTTATACCATTACCAGTCTCATATAAATATCTATATGAACCATCAAAATTAACTTCTTGTTCTTGTCTAATAATTGGTATTACATCTGGTGATCCTTGTATACCACCACTACTACCACGTTGTTGTGGTTTTGATGATACATAAATAACAAATATGGTTAACAGAAATATCTACATATACATACAAATATAATATAAAAAATTTAATTAATAAATAATTAATTTTTAATAATATTACAAATTAAAATTAATTAAATATAAAATCCAATATGGTATTCCTTGAATATTGTGTAATTCATGAATTTGAACTCACTTCAAATTTCATTTTAATTGTAATTTTTAATTTTTAATTTAATTATTTTAATATATTTCACTTAATTTTTTTCTAAAATATATTATAGTATGGTATATATACTATCTGTTATACAACTAGAATAAAACTGTAAATTAAATTATTTTTACCGGTGTTATTTATACCCATGGAAAATTTATAACAACTCTGAATTGGTATAAGTAAAATTCTCTAATTCCTGACTGAAAGTAGGATTCTTTAAAAGTATGCATGTGTGTGTGTATTTGTGTGTGTGTTTATTGAAATATGTAAGTATGTGGTGTTGAATTTTTTTTTGCTATTAATATAGCTAATGAATTTTAAACTTTAAAAGCTCAAATATAGCAAAACCCTCTCCTCTGTTCACCATTCTTGTAATTTTTGATTTTCTTCCAATTTTTTGTTGGTTTCATTTTTTATTCTCATCCTCGTTCTCCATTTCAATATTAATATTATTATTTTTTTGCTTTTTTTTTTTAATAAAAGACACCATACCTTAAATACCAAAATAAAACCTAGTTAAAAAAAAATAAAAATAAAAAACAAATTAGTTGTAATCATTGCAATCAAAAAAAAAAAAAATTACAGGTACAGATGAATTATTTTTGTTTTTTTTGCATTTTTTTTTTTATTCTTTAACATTGGATGAATTTTTACTAATATTAAATTCCAAACCCAACAATCTACACCTTCTCTATACTATATTAAAGTTAAAAAGAATATCACCCGCACCAAATAATTTAAAATTTTTGTTGTTGTTTTTTCTTCTTTGTTTCTTTTTAGTAATGTATGAGAGCCATACTCCTCATCAGCTTGTCATGGATATCTTTAAATCTGTAATCGTATAAACACATCGATTTTACAAATAAAGTACAGGTGTACACCATACCTACAACAAGTATATAATATAGTACGAGTAGTGCGACACGATGGTATACATACAATAATTTTTAATAGCTTTCGGTCATACTTACTCTTAGACTCATAATATATTCAAAGAAGGAAAAATTTATTTTGATTTTTTTTTTTATTTTCTTAAAGCTCATCCCATTTCATATAGTTACAATTTTTAATCTTCTTCTCTTAAGATTTTTTTATAGTTTGCTTTTTTCCAATTCAAATTGTTATTGTATCCCTTGTATTGCCTGCCTGCCTGCCTGCCGGGGCTATTTGATTAAAGCGACACAATATTAACAGTACAAACTCACATATTACATTATCATGTTGTTGTTGTTATTGTAAAACAAAAAAGAAGAAAAAAGTTGTGAGGAAAATAAAATTGAAAAAAAAAAAAAAAATGCTTTCTGTCTCATAAAATATTTTTTTTTTTTTGATTTTTTCTTATTATTTTCAAAAAAAAAATATATAATTGTTAAAATTTAATCAAATAATTGGGATAACAACTATAGGAAAATAAGTGTGTTTTAAAATAGCATAAAATTTTGAATTTTTCTACTGAATATTGTCTGGGAACAGAAGTTTTAAACTACGAATGAGGCTTACTACTAATGAGGTCCTTGTCTCACATACACAAGTTGGATATATTGAGTAACAAGAAATTAGATTTTTCACTAAAAATGTAGAACTAGTACGATTTTGATTGAATCAGAAATTTTCCGTAGACTATCAAAATATTCTGTGCTACGAAAACGTTTTACACAAGAGACGCTCACTGACTCATTTACGGCCGCAAGCAGCTCAATTTAAAATGATATCTGTCAAGTTAACGGTAGAAATCAATTTATATATCTTAACATAGATTGCAAATTCAGTTGCGTCACAAAATTATGGATTCAATTAGCATAAGATTTCATCTTCCGACCACCAACACTATCGAATGACCGCTCAATAGCTCAATTATCGCTCAATTAGCTCAACAACTATTGAAAACATAAATTCTCTACCAGAATACCTTAATCTTCTCATCAATATCAAGTGCCTAAATAAATTTTATTAGAGTTTGAAAAAAAAAAAAAAATTTTTTTTTTTAATTTGTCTGTTTCATCTTTTCATTTTTATTGTCGTTATTGTCGTCTTGTACCTAGTAAAAAAAAAAAAAAATCATGTTTGTATCTTTACCGGTATTGTTACAGTTAACTGCGGCAATTTGTCTTTTTATATTTTAAGATAAAAATCTATGACTTCTTTGGCATTTTTATTCGAGCCCAAGCGAAAAAACAAAAATAAGAAAAAATTTATTTTGCGGCTTAACGTTTTTGTGTTTTTTTTGTTGCATGTTTGTTATTATAGAAGCGTTTAAAACGTTTTAAAAGTATAATTAAAATTTTTTGCAAATATTTAGAAAAAAAAACAATAACAAATTTTTTACATTTTAATGAAAATCTATGAATTTTTAGAAGATATTAAGTAAATAACAATAAAATAAAAAATACTTAGTAGAATCACAATAAACTCACTCGAAAATACAATGTAGGTATGCAAAAAAAAAAAAACAAAAAGGCGTGATAGAAAATTTAAATAGCAAGTACAAATGACTGTAGGCAATTAGAAGCATTAAACATTAAAATTATTTTATTTTGAGAAGAAAACGAAAAAAAAAATATTTTATTAAAATTTTAAGCATTTTAGTTTAATTTCACATAAGATTTGCCATTAAAACAAAAAATAATATTAAAATCGCATAATTTACAATAATAGCTTCATAATTAAATTTTTATCAATTTTTGAGCAAAAAAAAAAAAATAATTTGTGTGGAAAAATTTTTAAAAATTTTGAAAATTTTGTAAATTGATATTTTTTTTCTTAATGTAGAAATGAAAATATTTTGTACCACACAAATACAAGAATATTTTAAATTCTTTTTAAGAGAAGCAATGCAATTCGTTACTAGTATAAAACAAGAAAAGTAACTAAATAAAGTAACTAATTGCAGTTTTACCCAATTACTTATTTCAGTTCATATTTCAGATGGTAGCTTTTATATAGCATTTACACAAAATTAAATAAAAAAGAATTTGAATGAACAGAAAATAGTTACTCAAAAAGTAATTGAAAAATATTGATTACTTAATCGATTTTTAGTTACTTTTGAATTTTTTAATTATCTTATACTGTAAACCCCTATATAAAACTATGAAAATGAAAATTTTAAATTTATTTTCGTTTAGAATTAAAATGTACTAAATGTCATCTATGTTACACATGAATTACTTTAACAATCAAAAATGACACTTATAGAAATATAAGCTCTACAGAATTTATTTTCGAATTCTATAAATAATTTTATACTGTAATATTAATTAGTAAATTTTTTAATGAAGATTGTGCAACAATAAAAAAGCAATTTAATTGCAACTGGGAGGGCTATATGACTACGGTAGACATGTTGACAGATAGTTTGAAAAATAGGCAATCCACTTGTGCTGTGGGGGGGGGGGAATTTAGCGAAAAGCTACAATATCATATCAACCTTAAAATACCATTATTTAAAAAAAAAATTTCCAAAAATTCAATTTTAAAATGGTTGGAGCACCTGAATTAAAATTGCTACAAAATGCCTTCTTGTATGATTCTTGGATAGGATCTATTGTATTTCCAGTGAATGTCTAAAAGTACCGTTATATCTCACACAGTCAAATAGCCAAATGTTATAATCCCATTTCAATAAAGTAACAAAAACAAATTATTTTTCTTTTACAGCCCCTAGCTTCTTAAACCGGTTCCAAGATAGGCCTATTGTGCAACAACAATTTTTTCCCTTACACATAAATATCTACATGCTATGTATATGTCAATGCGACACTGTATGGAACGGCCTGTATAACAAAATAAATTATTTTAACCAAATATCATGGTTTTATTCTCTTTTCGGCTTGTCAATCATAGCCTACAACAAGTAATTAAAATAATTACATTAAAGTAATTGATAATGACACATATTCTAAAGTAACTGTACTAAACATTATCATGTCAAATTTCATTTGCTTAAATATAAGTAAAAATATGTTATTTGTTCTTCCATTCTGGCATTATTCAAAAAATATTGTTTTGATTATCCGACTAGAATATTTGTAAAATATTTAAGAATTTTATTAAATAGCGTATATGTAAATGTGTGTATTTAATTTTGTGCCCTTAGTTTGAAATATTATATTAATTAACAATATTGTATTATTAGGCAGCTCGGAAATTTGATTTTTCTGAAATGTAATCATTGAACAAAACAAAACTTTTTTTCAGAAACATTGTTGCAATAGCAGGTTCCACAATATATTATTGGTCTTAAATTCAATATATTATAATATTTTAATTAATTATTAAAGAAAATTTAAAATACCAATTAAATTCTTCATGTTTATACGATTCAAATATAAATTGACTTATGTGACATTAAAAGGAAATTGTCGACCTTTATAGAAAATCAAGATGATTTATATAAATTAATACCAAACCTATATAGCGTTCTTTTTATATTTTCTAACAGATTCATACACACCTCAGTCATACAATATAAATTGCCTGGTGATGATTTTGATGAATATAGACAATATTACCGACGGGTGGCCACTAAATACATGTATTCTAATAAACATGTTATAAATATCAAGTTATGTAGTATGTTATGTATATAATAAAATATTCATATAAAACATTATTTATGTATGCTTGTATTTGTTTCAGAGCACATTTTTATTAAAAGAAGCGCTCATCATTGTTCTTGTTAACGGAATTACCATATTATTTAGATAAACTAATAAATTAAAAATAAAAGATTTAAAAAGTTGATATCATTGAAATGTAACATTTTATTGTAATGAATGAATCATTTGACATTTTTTTCTTCAGTTATATAGTTAGAAATGAAAGTTACGTATGTATACCAGTTTAAAATTCTAAACGGATTTGATTTTTCTATTTTAATTTTTTGTATTCATTCAATTACTTATTTAATAGGTTTAATTGCATACCTTTATTCTGAACATTTTTTGCTCGTGCAAGCTCATTAAGCTTATTTTTCAAAAAAAAATTTTAGAATATTATATTCGTAGAATATTGGTATTCGTATTGATCGGTAACTTACAAGAGACTTAACAAAATGCTGTAATCATTAAATGTTATTAATTCTGTAAAAACTTAAA